ACCAACGAAAACCCACGACGAGCTTCTTTACAAGCTGCCGTAAGCTTCTATTTTTGAGGAGCTCCAATGCTTGTTCATATGGTACCCATACTTAACCAAAAATCTATCCTCCAGGAAACTATGCCTTGATCTTTGGTAGATAGAGTGCTAAGATCAGTACGAGCCTTGAAAGTATCATATGGTTTGTGTGTCAGCATCCCCCCCCCCCCCCCCCTAAGAACCAGCGCTTTGCATGCCTTTCGCGCCTTTGCGCTGCCTTTGGCGCGTTTTTCTCAATGTATCCAAACCTTGAGGCTCCTATGGCGCCGCCTTAGAGGCATCAATGGGCCGCGTTAAGTTGAAAAAAAATTTCTTTCTTCAGTTGCAAGCCCTTTATAATTCAAAATAGTCGATTTCAATTTGAAGCAAAATAAAATCTTGTTACTTTCAGTTTTATGTATTGGGCTGGTGCACAAGTCTCGCACTGAATTTTATTAAACTGGATATCCCTTAGTCTCAGTGAATCCGTTCGATATAACATAGCGTGGAGAGTTCCATTTACTACTTTTACTACTTATATGCACACCATGTATTCGGCGCTACCTGACGCCTTGAAGCTGCTCATCTCCAATCGTTTTCCTTGTTTTTTTTTTGTCTCTTCTGATTTGCTTGAATAGTATTAGTCAGTACTTGAATAGTACCAGTCTACACATTCTCACCTTGTTACGCTAGAAAGGTTTTACTGAGGAGCTGCTAGTAGGTTTCCGTCAGTTGCCGCACTTAGTGTGCAGATTCACACACGAAATTAAAAATGACTCGAGGATACATTGGTTTGTAAAAAAATTCAATGTTGGATGACTTTCAATGTTCAAACGACATTCAAGCTAATAAAGAGAAATACACAAAGTGTATTAATTGGTAGCTAAAAGCCGTTAGACCCAATAAATTTTTTTGGTTCTGATGATGATTTGACTTAGTAATATTTTTTGAGTGAAAAAAATCGAGTTGAGAAGATGTCCCGACAAAAAGTCATAATTCATTCTTTTTACTCGACTGTTCGCTTTGTTTCAGATAGAATTCCAGATTTGTAAAGTTAAACAGAACATTTGTTATTTGTTGCAAAATGTATATCACATGAATGGAAAGTTCGAAGTCTTTAGAACATAATGCTTTCCTAATCTTTTGGTGTCTAGCACTCACTTTGATAATTATATAGGTCGAGTCACTAAAGCAAAACTGATGAATGTGGTGAGTAGTGACAGTGGTTTTGGATTCAAAACCAGAAAACTTCAAAGCTAAGAAAAATCATAATTTCAGCAAAGTTTGCGGCGTTTTTTTTCAATATTTTTTGCTAGCTTACTTTTAATGCTAATGCGCAATAATTCACATTTTCAAGGGTAAGCATGGATAGATTGGACTATTTGCGAGTTTACGAGCCATGCAGAATTTTTGTACACATACCATTATTATATATCGCTGACTACGCTGTCTCGTCGGTTATCAATCAGGTTGTCAACGATCTGCATGCGAACGTGTCATGTAGCGAAGCAAAGTGAACACATCTATCACATAACGCTAAAAAACGCGAATTGATAAGCTGACGAATTTTATGGCTTGAATTACGGGTTATCAATGTGACGCGGTTGATGCATTGTGATCCAATAAGCCATAACTGATAACGGGTCTAGAGTAAGAGAGAAAGATGGAAATGACGTGTAAAAAAAATTCTGGATACATTATGCAATTACACGTTTATATGAAACATAATTGGTTAGGTTGCTGAAACCTAAAAAAAACTACGTTGTGTAAGGCCCCGGACAGACTTCATGCGATTTGATCGCCGCGATTGAATCGCGACAAGACAACTGTTACAACATCATTCCATGCCGATCAATTTGCATTCGGTTGTGATACTTTTCCAACGCGAAATTTTTGAATGTAAAATGAAAATGAATAGAAATCTCGGCGACTGAATCGCGACGATCAAATCGCGTGAAGTCTGTCCGGGGCCTAAAATGCGAGGGAGAGGATGATAGGAAAATGAGGGCACCTTTCTTTTTCACTTCTTAGTGTAAATTCAGCGTTCTACTACTTTTATTCCTAATCATTTTTCGTAATAAGCCTTGCACAATTATCTCAAAAATCGTGAGCTGTTTCATTTTCAATGAATTATTTTGGTTCCAGATTTAGAGAATAGATTATTAGCTTTCCAGCATATCTCAATGCTCAAGATCTTGGCGATACAAGCTTAGGAGAAACACTTATCAATTAAAAAAACATGAAAGGGGCGGTAAAGTGTCTTTACTTAGGTTTTGTGACCTACTCCTTCCTATTAATTGTGAGAAAAATTTATGCCATTTAAACGTTTATAATGATGTGTTTTCCGATTTTTTTTCAGCTTTCGATCTCGTAGAAAGATCTCTTATTTGCATAATAAGTTACAACTCAGACAATTTACTGAAACTTCCACAGGCAAGCAATATTTGCAGTGGTTTCGTACGATTTTGTTTACTATTGCAAAAGGGGTGACGTTAAAAATGGAAACTCCAGCAAAATTTTCGAGTCAGACTGTTGCAAACAGAAATTTTCGCAGAACTTTCCACAAAGCGCTGCGGAGTTTCCGAATAACTCCAGCGGTTGCGCAGCACTTTCACCCGCCAGAACTTCCGCAGGCTTCTGAATATTTTGTCCTCTTCGATGCCTCGCCAACAGCTAGAGTGCATTGTCGAATATGTCATCCGTAGTGCAGAGGATAGTAAGTGCGTCTCGCAGTCAACAGTGTGAGATTCAGATCTCGAAGGCGTTCGCTTTTGCTGTTGTGGTTCGCATTCTTCGGAATTTCCGCAGCACCTCATTTGGGAACTTCCGCGGCACGTTACGGAACTTCCGCAGGTGACCCGGCGGAACTTCCGCAAGCGCTCTGCGGAAGTTCCGGTCAGTTGTCTGGATATTTGATCAATGCCATTTATCACGAGTAAAAAACGTTTTCTCAGACAATTTTGTAAAAGATTTTTTGTGATGTTGCTGCGAAATTATAGAAACTCCCTTTGAGCTATCTATTAACTTGAATATTTCGTTCTGGAACCGGACCTAGTTGTCTATACCATTGCCGGAACTTCGACTTTCTTTCACTGCTATGTTTCGCAATGAACAAATTAACCTCATCACTGACAATTGATTGATAACGCCAATCACTTCCTTGACAAATGTGATAATGTTTTGACTAAAAGGGATGTATGCATGGGGGCTCTTTTGATGTTTGTTCTTTGGTGTTTTCCTCCTTGCACCTGTGTAATATCTCTTATATTATTAAGTTGACAAATAACAAGCAAAAAAGGGGATTAGTTTATTTGATGATTTGTGGGTGTAAATGAATCCTACAGTGCTGAAAAATTTTGTAGTCCCATCTAGCTTGAATTTTTTTCGGAATTTTGAAGCCTATGTTGACACCACTTCGAAGGCGGAGCATCGGCATAATGCCAGCGATGGAGATATCTTCTCGTGTCTGAACGGAGAGATATACGCGCAATTTGATGTCAACATCTCACTGACCTCTCAATTCGCTTATGGAATTTCATAATAAAGTGATAAATGGATTACTTTGATCTTTAAGCATACTGGAATTCATAGCTGTTAGCATATTCGCTACTGTTATGTCCTAATCCTATCTGAGAATATTGATTGGCGTCAGAATGAGTTTTTTTTAAACGTTAATCCTTTCTTATTCGAGTATTCGTTATTAAATCCGTCTTAATGTCTCCAGTTACCTTCAAATGGTCTTGATATGATGTTGTGTACTATATTGATATCATTACTTCCTCAATTCCTCTACTTTATGTATCTTGTTGAGGGGGGAGAGGGGGAATTTTGCGCATTTTTCTGATGTCGTTGTTAATTGTTGTTATAGTCGTCCTCACCCCACTAGTCGGTCGGTGGTCGAATTTGAATTCGAACTGGAGCAGGCTGACCGCAGCAGCGCGCGGCAGACGCAAACCCCTTGCACGAGCTTTTTTCTTATTTTCTTCGTGTCTCTTTTCTATCTCTCGTATTGCGGCAATGTTCTTGATCAGACTTTCAAATTTCTACCGCTAACTCTTTGAAACAAACACTTTTTGAGAGAATTTCAGCCTTACCGCAAAAGAAAATTAGTCTAGCGTACATATTCTAACAAAAAACTTAATACATTTCATCAAATCACATTTGTGTACATGTCATTTACCGGAAAAAAGAGATTTCTCATCCATCCATTTCTCATTTCACATCCTTCTTCCCGGTTTACATGGAAAAAATGTAAAACAAACGAGCACAACTGCTTAAAACAATAATTAGCGGTGCAAAATCTAAAAATCTGATAAAGAACATTGTCGCAATATGAAAGATAGCAAAGAAACACGAAGAAAATAAGAGAAAAGCTCATGTGCTACGTTTGGCTGAAGGGCGGTCTGCCGCGCTCTGCCGCGGCCGGTCTGCTCCAGTTCGAATTCAAATTCGACCACCGACCGACTAGTGGGGTGAGGACGACTATAATCGCATTTTTCTGATGTCTTTTTAATCGAATGAGCCTGGATATCCCTACTAGTTATTTATGCCTTCCATATAGCAAATTGTTGCCTGTTTTTGATGCTTTTTCAAACGTACGGTCAAATTTTTTGGAAAAATCGGTTTATTGCTCAATTTTGAAAACAGTCAGAATGATGTAGCATATCCAAAGTCATTGTTTGCCAGAGAAAAGATAGCGAAAAAGCTTTTTTTTTGCATTCCAGCACATTTTGCTCTTGATCTCTATTCTCGCCCATGAAATTTAATGTTTATTCCTTTGCTAGAAATTTTTTTCTGAATGAATCTGGGGTCTTTTCACTGTAAAACTCACTGAAATTCTGTAGAACTCTCAATGTTGTGTGATACATTCTTCCAAGTGTTCCTTTGATTTTTTTCATAGCTTTCCATTGTCAAATTCTGATGATCCCACTACTGACGGTTCCTTTCTGTTTTGTCTCACTGCTTCAGTGCAGATAAATGGTGTGACTTTCGGCTGTGATGACTTGCGCTGCATATATAACTATATTCCAAATTTCATGTGATCCTGTTCTATTGCTTTGATTCTTTTGTTTTGCAGAAGTTGGATGTAATAGAGTTGTGTCGATTCTGCTGTCAAATGAAGTGCAAGAGCTTAACTCTACTAATCTGTAACGCGCAATTTGCAGAGAATTGAGGAAGAAAAATAGTAATTCAATAGTAAGCTTTAGTAATTTCAAGCAAGCTTATCTATCTGAAAACATGTCTTTCTATCTAGCTTGTCCATGAAAATCTGAACACATCGCAATAAGATCACCAGTCGCTGACACAACTCTCATAATCTTCTCTTTTTGGCTGACAGAAGGTTGTGCTGGTTGAGCGCCTTTATGAAAAGCTATAATTTTCGAAAAAGTATTAGAAAAACCAGAAATGTACAAATTTAATTTTTTGGTATGTTTGGAAATCATAACTTTTCAAGACTCTCGATTAGCAATACATACTTTGTTGATGTGAAGAGAACATAGAGCTTGTGTCAGTTGCCGGTTCGGATTTTGTTGCTAGGATTATCAGATTTTTGACAATCCTGCTCAAAATTAAAGATTGAGTGTTTTTCTTCTTCATTTTTGTTCTAGCGATATGCTCATTGTTAAGAGATGCCAAAGTGCTATCAGAAAGTACATAATTTTTTTTAGCGATGACTAGCGGAACTACATTAAAAGAAAAAGTAACATTTAAAAAAATTAGAGCAAACCCTCTCAAGAATGAATTCATTCCGTGAAAGCTGGTCACTAGATTGAAGCCAATTCAAATAATTTATTTTTCAGTGCATAATCCAAGACTCTTTGCTGTTTTTTTCTAAATGGCATCAGCTTTTTGAATGAAAATGAAGATGAAATGATTACTTGTCCTTAAAGTTTAACTTCTTGAGCCATGATATTGGATATCGCTAGAAGATTCTACCCAAAAATCCTGTCCCCAACTACTTTTTTGTCCGTGTCATTGTTCTGTATCCTATTATTAGTGAAAATTCGCATTACTGAAGTGGAATGTACAGGTCCGCAATGATACGGTTCAAAGTCGCAATTCGAACCTGTCACGGGGGGGGGGGGGGGAGTTGCGGTTGATCTCGTCTTCAAATTTAATGACGATCGTAGTGTACGACGATTGACCGAGATATGCGACCGTTGGGCCCCGGGGTTTCGAGCCAAATATCTTTCACGGGGGCACTGTTCGGAGGGGGGGGGGGGTGCGGAGAGGCGAGAAGAATTCTCGAAATTGATTGCATCAGCAGCAATTTGCATATTTTCGCACTACTGCTGGACTTACCGTTTTTATTGTGTTGTGCAAATATGCGTTTAGCTCTTCAGAAAAAACATAATGTTACTAATGATTTTCTACTGAAGGAATATGAAGTGGATTTCCCATTGGAAAAATTCTGGAAATTGGGGTTGGAATGAAGAATTCTTATAAAACTTCTTCCAACTTCTTCATTCTCAGCAGATAAGGCTGGTCGAAAGAGGGCTCAACTTTTTTGGAACTCTATTTTAAATTAATGGAATTGTCTGCGAACTTAATTGAAGTTGAATGGCTAATGACAATATTCAATCCTTAAGAAAGCCAGCAAGCCCCTCTAGAGTTTTACTAGATCAATTGAAGTGTCTTACTTTGATTGTTGTTGGCCTTCGTCTTTTTTCTGTAAAATAAGCCTTCAATTCTTGTTGCCTACACTGATGGCTGTAATCTGCGATATCTTAATAGTACAACCAATTATCTAAATTGATTGCTTAGGTTTTCAAATAAGAATTGAGAAATTATTCACATCCTCATTTCACTATGTCACTCTATAAACTGTCTTCATACTAGCCACATTTTCCAAAAAGTTGTCAAAGCTCTCGGATATGTAACTTCTAAGCTTTACGAAATTATAAGAAATAGAAAAGGTTTATTATTTGAAGGTGAGCTCATGACATAGATGTACGGTTTTCGAGGGAATATCGTTGAGTTGTTTCGCTTCCACAACAATGTAGTGTGGACGTTACTAGAATTCGAAAACGTTTGGTTCTTTCAAATACCAGAAAAGCCAAAAATTTTTTCGAGGTCACTACTCTGACCTTCGCGTTCTTGCCTTTCCTCCCCCTCCTCTCTCGAAAATTGTACACTACGAATTGCAATTAACTAATATCCTTGCCGACTGAGGTGCAAGTGCTGAATATCAAAAAGTCGCCAAATTCTCCTTAATCCAGTGGTTTGCATTGGTTTCTTGAACTTTAAAGTTTTTTAGAATATTCTAAAAATTTGTGTGTCTCGGTTTTGCCGATGTTGATCTATACTTCAAACTAATACATTTATAATTGTATAGTTAGCTTTCATCAAAGATCCTACTAGCTGCGCTGCGTCTTTTCATCTGCTTCGTTTTGTTTCCCACGATTATCATTAGTGTGTACTTTGTATATACCCTCCTCATACTACTGGCAGAACCAAGAATGCATTACGCTTCAGTTAAAAAAATTTGCTTTGCTGCCTACGTGTTTTAGTGAGTTTAGATAGCTTACGAAGTGATAAAATTTGAACAAGTGGTTTTTTACGTCCAGGACGAATTCCTCGCATTCCTTGAGAATTTTTGTGTGAGAATTGATTATCTCTACATCTAGGAACGATTTTTACTGGTACAGCACGATCTCAAAAATGAGAGTTTACAGATTTTGATTATTATGGTTCTTAAAGAAAATAGCGTTTCAGATCTGTGATTGTATGCCTTGTAGCTTGCAAATATCATTTATATTATTTTAACTGAGTCATCCAATCCTTCATTAAACTATGTATCTCTCGTCACAAAAGCATACATATTCTCTATTTACTCATACATTTGATTCGCTGTCTAATTACAGCTCCCAATCTAGTCATACTGATTCCATTTCTCTTGATCATTCACCCACTTCATTCCAATCGTTCTTTCATTCTCCTGAAGCACTGCAATAGTTATATTTTCACATGAAACGGTACCCGTTTTTCTAACTCAGCAAAAACTTTGGAGCTCAAATTGAAGACAGTTGAAATCATGATACTATCCTAATTTGCTTACGCTTCGCTGGTTTTCCAATCTATCTGACGGCGAATCTCAACTCCACGGTAAAAGCGAATGGTTCGTATTAGGTGTTGGATAATTCAAGGTTGACTAGTGGTATTCCGACGCATCGAGATTAAAGAGTAGTTAAAACGTTCATTGGTGAACAAACCCAATACGGCATTTGCAAAATCAATTAGTTTATTTGATATCTTCAAGGCCTCAAATCATTGAGTAAATGATTTGCTCTAAAGACCACCGACTTTTCTCTTTTTTTTTCTCAAATTTTTGTAGACTTCATTCTCGACCATAGGTCGATTAAAGGGCCGGGCATATCACGCAATTTCAGTCGATTTATGCTTACAGTGATTTATGGACAGTTGGAATACTGTCAAACTGCGACTGAAATCGCGTGAAGTTGCCCGGCCCTTAAGCCGGTTCCAATTTTCAAACCTTTTGAAATCTTACGTAGCTGATTGTGTTTCTTCAATACTTTCCGGCATGATGGGCCACATCTTCTGTCCTGCTATCCATTCGGTCTCTTGAGGGCCGGGCATACTTCACCCGATTTCGTCGCGACGCGATTTGGTAATATTCCAACTGTCCATAACTCACTGTAAACACATTTTACATGTACAGAAGATAGCGCATTTTATCAATCCAAGTAAGCTACACTCACTATGGCATGTGCAGTTTGCTAATGTTGGATCTGAAGACTTCTGGCGAATTGCCAAATCGCATCGCGACTAAAATCGCGTGAAGTATGCCCAGCCCTTTACTTTATGCAAATCATCCTATCTTGAATATAAGGTTACTTTCTGGTGGTCGCCATACTTTTTACTTCTCTGTGTATATTTGTTCTCTAGAATTACTCAATTGGATTTGAAGCGTTTTCTAGCTGAATCGTCTTAACCACATTATCTCAAAGTATTCTTATTCAGATACGTTTAAGGGACTGGCGACAAATCAGCACTGTCGCATCAGATAACCTTGAGACAGCGTTTTGAACACAGGATTCATGTCTGATGGATGCTAACACTAAGGTAAGCAGGTAGATTGCTCAATCAAGGAGTTTTATATAATTACAAAAGTTTTTTGAACATGCAACAACATGAATTGTGCATGAAAAAAATTTGTAATTTATCTTGTACTGAAAGAGGAGTTTATGCATGAGAAAATCCTAGTTGAATTTTTAACAGAATAAGCCACCTTACTTTCAAGCTTAAACTTATCTTGCATAACTGGTAGAACTCTGATGACCCATTAACTCATTGCCGTAGGAGTGTCTGTCATTTCAATTCAACGTGAACTTTTTTTATGAAATGAAAACTCATTTTCATGTAATTCTCATTTGTCAGTGTCAGATGCACATATTTAGGTTTCCAAATACCTGGCCGATCTAAAAAATGACACATCTCGAAGGAGCGGCAGGTCAGTTTTTTTCATGTCATTCAAATAGTTTTCGTATTTTTCACAAAGCTTTGTCGAATTCAACAACCAACCAAGCTGTGATCAGGAAGTTCTGAAGTGTCGGTAATTTATTACTTGATAAGAACTTTAAAGATAAGCAAGCAGTACGCTTATCTCTAACGCCCCGCTTAAGTTTTCCAAAATGCGGCAGTTTTTCTCATTCGTCTATCTACTTCTATAAGCTATGGTTATTAAGAGTAAAAAGACTACTATTTGAGGGCTGTATGTCAAAAATTCAATAGTTGGAGTAAACTTTGTAAAGTATCAGCTATGAGCTGTTAATAATCTGTCATATTAGGTTTAACTTTCGGCATATTTACTTTATGTAAACTTCAACTTTCTCTAGACTACAAGGCTTATTCGTTGCTACACCCTTACTGCGTCTCCTCCCTATCTTTCCTTAATTCATAATTTTTTTGAATCTTTCAGTCCTTAACCTTTTGTAACCCAGCTTTTCATTTTTCCATTTCGTTATCTCAACTATTATCACACTGAAATTAATTGATTATCTATTCTGTTATTGATTTACTTGAGACTCAAAGAAAATTTTTGCCACCACCTCTCTTGCCTCTCTTGCATTCATAGAATTGTACACATTTCTGCAAATATGCATAGCTTTGAGATGAAAAAACACTTTTATGGATGCTGATTCCTATTTACATCTCATTGACTTTGAGTGATTAGTCATTCTGTCACACTCGACACGGCTTTTTGAACTCGTTGCAGTATTCATTTCACCCTAAAATTTTTGGTATGTTGCGCTCTCTGTATTTTGCTACGCAATTGTTCTACTTTTTACTATAATTTACGCAGCTAAACAATTTAATGATGGGTAGGCAAAGCTCGATTGAGATAAATAGTCCTTCATTGCTTAACATTTGCGGGAAAGAGTGAAAGGGAATGGAGCACAGTAATTTTCCGGATCCTATTCTCTCTTTGTTTTGCCTTGTGTAACCCTTTATTTTCCCCTTCACTGTACTTTTGACATGTCAATTGTTGCTTCACGCAAATTTTTAATTTTCTATATCAATTCTCAATTTCCCAAGTTTTTTTAAATGTCACGTTTCCTTACTTTCATATTATCTACCGCTATATGAACTTTTTAATAGACTGATTCACAGCTTTCTAACTTTTTCCATTTTTCTGGGCATTTTTTCCTTACTACCAGGCAGAGTAAAAGTTTCGTAATGTGAGACCAAGTTTTCAAAGACTACGCTCATCTCGAAAACACAAATGAAGAGTATTGCGATGCTTTCGTCAGTAACTGCTAGGAAACTAAACTACTAGAAGAAGCTCCAGCAGAATATTATTGATTTTCCCACCGTTTTCCAATAGAATTCGACTTATTGTCCATTGTTTTTTATTTTTCAATAGTCTTCTATTCGTAATATGTAAAGACGCAGTTGGCAACAATGGAAATCCATGAGCGACATCTATCAAAAAAATATCCCAACATTTTTGAAAGATATTCAAAAACAGACAAATAGCATAACAGCTGATAAAAGTACAGTCGAATCATTTCATATGATCATGTGTGCACCCGCACACACCGTCCATCTTTGGCGTCCTCATCCTGGATTTGCAATCGCGAAAACACAAGAGAGTGACCGATTGCTATCGCTTACATCATTTGAAGGTGAGTAGTACCTAAAAAGAAAATAAAACATTGAAAATACATCAAAAATGCTTACCTGAAGAGTTGCCTCTTCCAAGAATCCAGGATGGGAACGCCAAAGGTGGACGGTGTGTGCAGTGACACACATGATCATATGAAATGATTCGACTGTATCTAACAGGAAAGAAAACTTGGAAATCCTGGTAGCATACGCTTTTCACGAACACGCAGAGCCTTTTACTACTTGGCTTTTTTTTTCACAAAATATCCTTCTCTAAAGTGATCTCGTTTGCACTTCTGACCATCTTATCCCCCAGCTTTTCTCTGTCGCAAATATGCCACTCAGACCAGCCAGCAATCTAGGAACCACCTTCGCATGACTCTCGACTCTAGCCAAACAGTTCGTTTCCGTCTGTACCTCTTCGTTTGTCTCGGGCTCTCGAGGCGCGATGTTTGGGGCTCATTGGCCTCTTGATCCTTTGTCCCTTTTCTGAACGGGAGTTGTTGCCTCTTGATGAGGTGAGAACGGAGGATAGCGGCCTGCTCGGCCCAAACCGATCCTCTCGCCACTTTTTCGACACCATCGTGATCTGGGAAGAGCAGTTCGTGATTGGTAGGGGAGAGTTTTCGTATTGGGGGTAAATCTTCCACTCTCAAAAGCTTGCATTTATATTCAAGATCTGCATTGACCACCATTTATCCTTTAGCGAATGATATCAGTCATTTGTAACTCAGTATGCATCTTGCACAACATGTGCGCTACATGACGACTTGAAGGATTGGAATTTGCCCATTTACAGAAATTTCATCTTGTTTCCCTGTCCCTTCAAATTTGATTGGATATTTGTTCCTTACTATGTACATTTCTACCAATTATTACACTAGAAAAGTTTAACTGAGGACTTACTAGTAAGAGTGGAGTCGTTGCCGCGCATGTGTGTTGGCTCACAAAGTAAGTTATAAATAACTTGAATAAGTATACATCATTTCCTCGAGGTTCAAGAGCAACTTTGCCCTAGTAAGCTTCCTGAATGCCACTCATGCTCCCCACCCGAGATAAAAACGCAATTTAAAGAATTTGTAAACATAATCACAAAATGACGAGATCTTTTTTACATTGAGTGATAAGAATTTATAGGCATTTTTTCTGCGTCGCAAGGTCCCCACAATGCCATTTTGACTTTATCGAAGCAGTTTAGTCATTCATTTTCAATCGTTCAAACCATTGCAGAATTTCATATTGTTCCTATTTATTCATTCACTCCTTATATAATTGTTCTTCACATCAATTTTTCCAACACAATCGTCGTTCTTGTAGTCCTAAGAATCATTCGACTGTCAAATTTATTTGCCATACTTTTTGTTGATTTGTTTATCAATCCATTCATCCGTAAATCATATCTTTATCTTTCTTTTTATGTCTTTGATTTTTCAGTCCCACACCTATCAACACGGCGCAGTTACTGACTACCAGAGGCCCAGGACAGGTTCGTGGACGCGTTTCAATACATTTGGTGGTACATACAAGCTGCGGCTAGAGTTGCACAGGTGCCAGCGCCGTGCCAATGCCGTGCCGAAACTTGGATCGATCAATAGGCACCTATCCACGTGGGCACTGGCACGGCGTTCTGCGCTGGCACGCCGGCAATCATGGACGCAGCCACAGCAGTACATCTAAATGCAAATCCTTTCAGGCCGCCCATGATCCGCTGCAGTTCGTGTCAACAAGCGGAACATCGTTGGCTGAAAATGCGCGTCAACTGATTAGCATCACTGAACAACAGAAACGCGAAAGAGCTAAACTGGTACAGCAAGGTGTAAGTACCTTAGCAATTCCACAAGTGGTTAGTTTAGCGTAGAAATTAGATTTATTACTATTTCGCTCCTGTATCAAACGAAAAAATCGAGTTCTTTCAGAGTCGTTTTGACGATAGTGAATCCTGGCAGGCAGATTTGGACACATGGCGACGAAAACGAAAAACAAAAGCAGCCAAGCAACTAGGTGTAGGTGTAGAGCCATCGAATCCAGCCAGAGACTATCGTCCCATCGCTAAGGATTACAACAGTCTACCGAATTATGGTCGAAACTACAAGGTACGGCTTTCAAATCTTTGTTTGGGATACCTTGAAGTAACAACGAAATATTATGTAAGAATGTTTGAAACCTTTAAGGTCCTTTATCTACGTCTCGAGTTCCTTTGGAGGCAGCCTCTAAACGTTATTTTTCCTTATTTGGAAAGTGATTGCGACTTGAAATAATCCATTTCCCAAACAGCGGCTCAAATGTATCGTTTGTGGCTTAGAGATTCATCTTTGAACTTTTGTCCGCACCGTACCTATACTCAATTATACTGTAGTTCCCCTCTACAGAGTACTATCTGGGCTAGAGTTCAGATCCTTCCTAAATTCAGTTTTTTAAATGCTAATATTTTTGCCACAATCGCATGAGCTGCCGCTTGGGTAATGGCTAGTGCCTCTTCGGAACCCTTAACCAAAACCATATCTTTGTGCATTGTCACTAGTCACCAATTGATCCGATATCCATCCGGTTCCTTGAACTCTCACATTCCCCTCAGATTCATTGCCTTGTGGTAGCAAGGGGAGTATGGTTCAAGTGTATGCCATATTCTGAAAGCATACAATAGGCTTTTTTAACACATTGACGACAGCTTGATACACATGGTGTGTCATACAATGACTGCCGCGTGGGACCGCTTGACATACCATGTGTGTCAAGGTTTGAATTCTGTCAAAATGACAACTGTCTTGGGATAAACTCATTCCATGAGCTCTCTTTTGCACTGAATCCAGGGATGACCTCTACTTTTTTGTCAGCCTTTCAGATCTACTGTAGATGTAGTGTAGATGACACTGCGTAATTATAGTTGAGAACTGTGGGCTGGTCCGTAAAGGGCCTTGGTCCCAGACAGCAGACAACTAAAAATCTGCAGGGTCGTCAATGTGTTAACCAATCTGCGGCAGTCGAGGGAAGCAGCAAAGCGCGTATAAACGCGATGTCGAGACGAAAGTGTTTCACAAACTTTATCTACAGACTTTTGTTCCCAAAACTGGCGTTGCCTGCTGTATCTGATAATTTCTACAAAGAAAACAAGCACAGTTGTTGTTATGCCCCGGGGCGGTAAGGTAAAGCCGCCAAATTGGGTATATAGAGTCAGTGCTTTCTATGCTAGTCAGGAAGTGCTGAGGATCAAATCTGCCTATATCTCGCATTCCGCGTTTCAGAATTTCCTAGCTCCCTTTACTCTCACTTGAGATTATCCAAATTCAGTCTGTGTTTATCCCTCGAGGACAAAAATGAGCACATGCAAAAAATCCGGTTTTTATTTCAAATTATGACGGAAAATGCTTCAATACATTGTTTATCACTCGTGGGGTAAAGAATTACGTTTCCTGTTGCTTTTCTATCAAACTTTTGATCTTGACCCGTGCCTCATCATTACCAGAGATCTCACTATCTGGAAGAGACAAATATTGCTCAAAATTGTGAACATTTTCAACAATCTGCCATAGTCCCATCGATCGATTACCGTTCACGGGTCATCTGAATTATTCTTTTTTTTTCAACTTTGAGCAAACATTGGGCTCAAACAATGAGCAATCTAAGTCATATTCGATATTGCCAGTTCTTTCCTTTCTAGATTCCAAGTTAGTCAGCGACTGTGCAGTTACCACCTCAGTCGTTGGGGTCACCCTGCTCTCGGACTGTCATGCTCCTAAAATAGCTCTATCTTTTGGACTTTCGTGTGGACAAATAGTCAATCTATGCTAAATAAGGTTTATCTTTCCAAGATTGATTCTTTCAATCTTTGGAAACCGCATTTCTTCGGGAAAACCTAAAAATTTGCAGTCGTTTCTGCTTAATCCAGGCATTTCGCATAGTTGTGACTTTATAATTTGAAAAATGCCCTACTATAAGCTTCATTTATTTTGCTGTTAGTTTTTTTACTGAGACGGGCGAACGTATACTAAAAGCGGTATTCAGGTGCCTAAAAGTGCTAAAATACCAATTTTTCCTTCTAGCTATTCATCCATGCATACTTAGTTTGCAATATCACAAATGATAGAATGAATGGTCTAATATCCTTCTGACACATATAATTGATACATGTCAAAGTAGACATCATAGAAAAAATTTGAAAGCGTTGATAGCATTTATCCACGTTCGAGACCACACGTTTTTATCAGCATGTAAAAATTGACAGGTCGCTATGAGAAAAATCAACGTGATAATCATGTTTTCAATGCTACTAGTGAACCAGTAATCTAAAAGTGCTAGATTGCAGGAGGTTCGCTTCGGGACCCGCCGCGGTTTCCCGCTATTGGGAGACTTTTGAATTGAGCTGACGATTCTTTATATATTAGATAATGGATACACGAGGAACAAATGGTTTGTAATCGTGATAAGCTCCCTACATAGTTAGCAACAGTGATTTTGTGTTGTACAACTTGAAGTCTGAATTTCGCACATTTTTTTGCGCCACATTGAAATTTTTTGGCTCTGTAAATCTGTTTCGCTCTGAAGTACACTAGATTGTCAAAAATATTAGGTTGTTGCAAAAATAATGTCCGTTTTGCAAAATTTCACTTTGAAAGGCTATAACTTCATTCAGTCTCCATATTTTTGAATGCAGTCAAGACCATCAGAAACATCAAACCTTTCTTAACTTAGCGCGCCCCTGCCTATACTAATATCGCAAACGGGAAGAAAACCACGCGTCAGAAAACTTAAAGTTTTTCTCTTGAAAACCTTATCTTCAAGAGCTTACAACTCCCTTCAAGCTTTGTCCCTATGTCTGCTAATTAGCTTATTTGTAGCCGCAGGCCAATAGTATACGTGTGTATAGAAAAATTTCCAACGAAGGAGTTCTGCGAAAAGAAAAGATAAAAATTCAAAAATGTTCACTTTTTTAAGCCTATTTGTTGTAGGCTTGTAAGTGCCTAATTATGAAAATTTGGAATTTTTCGCGCACTGAAAAGCTAAGTTTCTTTTCAAATATTGTAGTTAAGGTCTACTAATTTCAAGCTTACAGAAATCGGCGAAGCTTTGGCGATTGCCTTAATTATGAGAAATTTCTGACCCATAGAATGCCAGCAGCGAGTGTCTATTTCGACGCGTCAATTTCTCAGTCCACATATCTCCAAAAATCTACATAAGCACGCAGTGGGTAAACAATCTTCATCCAATACACTTGCTATGTTTTCAGAAGAATTCGTTTATTTGCTCCTGAATTTTGGTCAAGAAAGTGGAAGCTATGAGATTCTGATTTTGAGTGCGGGTGTGGAAAATGCTGGTGAAATTCTCACAAGTGAGGAAAGCAGCTTAATTCCACCGCCATGAGAAAGTAGATGAAGAGCGTTTCCAATCATATGCAGAAGCTATATCGAAAAATAAAGTTTGATAGGTAAAAAGTTGTTTGGAATATAAGTCTAGAAAAACGGACATTATTTTTGCAACAACCAATAATTGTCGAATGATCGAATTTGAACATCAGTAGTGTCTTTATCTCCCTCAATTAATTGTTGACATACATTCCTCTCGGAAATTTCTATTCTTTTGAATTCTAGCGCTTTGCTCTACTATTAGGGGAGTCTTTCTGAAAGTAATTTTTGCTTGAATTATTCTTCCTAACGAAGCTGATAGTGGTTATGAGAGATAACGAAAATTCTAGACGACTCAAATTCCCATAGATGTTCGAGAAATATATCATCTGAGCGTGTGTGCCAGTAAAAATGGGAATTGAAACAAGTTTCAGTCCAAGTTGAAGCTAGAACTTTCTCATTTCAAAGCTTGAACGGTATCAGAGCAATTGATAATATATTGATTCGTACAGCCATAATGAGCCCCTTTGTAAGTTTCAGAAACATTTTTGTCGCAAACATTTGATGAGTTATGTCACGCAAGCTTCGAGAGGATTTGTAGACTGAATAAATCATTTTCTGAAATACTTCATTTCAGCCGTCACTGTTGATTATTCGAAACTAGGTCAACCATATAGCATTTCTTAATGGCTGGCTCATAATCTTTTACGAGGGTTTTTTGCGCATAGGTTCATGATTCACTCGAATCATAAATCACTCATCTGGCTTCATCATCACGGAATTCTTCTTTGTTTTCTTGATTGCAGAAATGGTTCTTTAACGGTTCCCGAATCATAACCATGAACCATGTGCGGCTGAATTTAATACTGGACTCTCTATGTGAAATAGTAACTATACATATCCTGTAAACTAAGCCAATGTTCAGTTCATGTGACTTATTCACGGCCTAGAAATCCAGTCGCGAACCCTCGCCCAGTACCGTACTCCGCCGCGCGGACCGAATCGGGTGCGGTACCGGACGAAGTTTGAACGCAGTTTTTTTTTTGGCGCAGAAAAATCATAGGAGCTTACATTTGAGCAACGTCTTGTCTGACCTTTTCTCATCATAGGAGTACGCTTACAAAAATTTTCAGGGATACAATTTTTTTCTTGAACTGTTGTTCGGCAAAAAATGGAAATACGTAAGTAAGCGCTACCAACTATAGTCATAGTACAGTGATTCTCTACACCTAAGAGTCACATACAAAAAATAATTTACAAATAAATGGTCCCTTGTCATTACACTTACACATACCCACATCATTCTCCGCTTTCCTGGGTAAGGGCATCGAGTGATAAATTGATTGTTTCGTGTGAAATTCGTTCGCGTTCCGCAAGTCGGGCCGGGCCCCACCAGCCCCTTCGAGAGCAAAATTGGGTCAGAAATGCACTTTCGATAAACACCATTATTATATCGTATCCGTTACGGGCCCGACGCACCTCTATCACCTTCGACTTGCCATACTCGATTGTCGAACCTCGCCTCGCTCTAGGTAGGTCAGCGTTAATTTTACGGTTATTGTAACTACGAAGTCCTTTCGTGCATACCTTCATTCGCCGTTGACATCAAATCAGAACCAGGCATGTCGCCTGCTTATGTATGTGTTTTATGTATCTCTTTTATGCCAATTATCAAAGGTGATATTATTTATTTATAAAAAAACAAAATTCATTCAAGTTCATGGGCTGCTTCTGGTAAGTATCCTGAAAGATTT